CTGGAGGAGCCAATCAGCTAGATGTTGCTGGGGCCGCTGTGAGCCAATCATCAGCTGGCAGTCTGAAGGGCAGGGAAACAGCCCAATGAACATCACTGCAGAGGAGCCAATCAGCTAGATGTTGCTGGGGCCACTGTGAGCCAATCATTAGCCGGCAGCTGGAAGTTTGCTGGCAGCTGGAAGTTTGCTGGGGCCCCTTTGGCTGTGGCTCTCAACAGTGTATTTTCCAGTTGAGAGAAGATATCTCCTATGGGAACATCTCAGCTTCTGCAGCGAAGAAAATTCCTGTGATAGTCAGTTCTTTAGTTTTTCTATTGGAAGAATCATTTAAATGCTCCTTGTTCACCGCTGTCCTTGAAGGCCGAGTGAACAGTAGTCATCTGTACATTTGACTAGACCTTTTCCTAAGCTATCTATCATGGTTCCTGTGTTTTTATCATAATGAAGAGAACCACCGTGTGGATGCCTGACGGTCGGTGAGAGGCCCAGCGTGGGTGGACGGCCTGCAGATCCCTCTTCCACCTCTATGCTTTGTCCAAAGCGTAGCCTGGGAGTCAGGGTTGGGTCTGAGCGCTTAGGCAAGCTGCGCCTCGGAATCTGTGGCGTGAGCTGTCACCGTCTGTCATTTTCTAATTCTGCGTGGGACACTGAGGCAGCAGTGGACAGCAGGGCCAGCAGGTTGATTGATTCTGCACCCTTGCTATTCTGCGCCATACGTAGGAGAGTCCTGGTGTGTGGGGAGTTCACAGACTGTGGGTCTCGATGCCAGCTGTGGAGCTGAAGGCGGGGAGGCATAGCGCTCGCTTTACTTATTACGATGTTCACATGGAGAATCATATACACGGTAGCAAAATAGGCATTTTTATGTGTTGCTTATATTTTACCTCAAATTAAATTGTAGATATAGGGTAATAAATAAAATCCATCCATGCCTTTCAAAAAAAAAAAAAAAACAAGTACACAAAAGTAAACATTTATTTGGGGAATTACTTGGATCTAGAATACAAACCTTTATTTTGTGCATATATGAATATATAACAACAAATTCCATCAATATGTACAACTATAACGCACCAATAAAAATTTTAAAAAAATCAGAATACAAACCTTGACTTTCCCATGTAAACTTGACGTGATATATGGAAGCACTCCAATTCTAAACTTCACCAGACAAGCTTTGCAAAAGTTCCAGAGTGATCAAAACCACTCAGGCCCGGGGCGTCAAACTGATTGGCTCCAGTAGGCTGCTCTGACATTCTCTAGAGAGCATCTTCTATCACAGATACTACCTTAGTCACTTGCAGCCAATAACTCTGGGTTTAACCAAACACTAGGTAATAAGGACATATTTGTGTGCATATTCATGCAGTTTTTCACTTAYAGCTTCAAGGAACTGACAACAAAAACTAAATAGCTTCAAAATATTCCTCCTGTTTGGCGTGGTAGCAAGTTTCTGTAATCCCAGCTATTCAGAAGTATCACAAGTTCAAGGGCAGCCTGGGAAACTGCGTGAGATTCTRTTCCAAAATTAAAATCTGTAAAAGGGCGGTGGATATAGGTCAGTGATAGTGATGGCAGGCCCTGGGCTCAATTCCTGGCAAAAAAAAAAAAGAAAAGAAAGATTCCTCTACAGTAGTAGAAAACATTAAAGGAAAATTAAAGACTCAAATGTAATATATGCTAAAGCCAGAATTTTCTATGTACAGGAGAGAGAATTGGTTAAAATGAAGGAATCTTAACATACAGATGAATTAACTGGCAATGAGTGGTAATGTATTCTAAGTATTTACTGAATTCCAATAAATTCAAAGTAAAAAACTCTGCTTTCTGTCCCTTGCAAGAAAACCTGGAGCTTCCCAGAAGGAGAGAGGCATATTGGGTTTTACATTGAGTTCACAAACTGTCTGCACACAGTTATATCCTAGAGAAATGCTAGCAAATATAATATTGCTCCGTACTATGTAATTATCAAAAGCACCCTCAGGACTTGTTGAAGGCTGCCACTGTCATATCAGAAGACGTAAAGTGACAGCAGCAGTGTAAGGGATGTATGACGATGAGGTGGGAGAGTAATTAGTTCCTAATTAAACTTATCTGAAATATGAGGGCAATTATCATAGAAAAATTCCACTCACATTACATGTAAGTTAAAAATGCTCCAGGGTATCTATTAATTTCTGAAAACAGCAGCAAGGTGTGAGCACTTTGGTTGAGGTTAACCAGCTTTTCTACCATCTACTCAGTTTGCAGAAGTTACAACTTGAGTTTTTTATGAAGCTACATCATTCTGCTATTTATACTCAGATGATATGATTTATAAATATAAAAATACCTTATTTTATTATGAGCTGCTGTCAAAAAACGAGATTTTAAAGGAAATTGGTTTTATACAACGTTTTTCTTACATTGGATGCAGTCCGCTTTCTTTTTCCCTCGAAGGTATTTTTAAACCTTTCATTAGGGAGCTGTAGTCATGTAATCTACAACCATAGAGAAACAGTTTGCAAAGACAAAATCACATTTTCCTAAATGGACCTTTACTTCATGGTAATATGTTTCGGATTTTTAAACAATTAGTCAAAGTAAACTTGGTGACAATTTCAAATTACACTTGAAAATCTCATTGAACCAGTAAAAATTAGAGAAAAACAATTMTAAACACAGCCATCATTAGTCTATATTTACCTTGCTACAAACTGCCATGATTGCTGTATCTTTATTTAAAATTTATATTTAGTAAGATGCAATGCAGCTAGTTAGTAATGAGTTTACTCAAGGATTAAAATAACACCCTCGAATCAAACCGTGTAATATGATGTATTAAGAACTATGTAATGTTATGAACGACCAATAAAAAAAAAAATAAAAAAAAATAAAAAAAAATAAAAAAAAAAATAAAAAATAAAATAACACCCAATAATTACATCTAGGGAGGAAAAATTATATCACATTCAATAGAGAAAAAATTCAAACATACCACACAAGTAATTTCTGACATTTTGATAGATGTGTTTGTCTGGTCTTGTATGGATTTATCTATTTTGGGTCATTTCTACATAAAAACATAAATATTTATCAAAAAGAAATCAGAAAAGTTTGAGAAAATTGGTTTGACCTGATTTAAACATTATACAGTGTATCTATGTATCAAATTATCACATCATACCTCATAAATACAATTTCATACCTCATAAATACAATTTTATGTATCAGTTAAAAATATATTTGATTTGAATATTTAAAACCATAAATATTGCCTTATTTATGTTTTCCAGAGCAAACATTCAATAATGAACATTTGCTGGGTGTAGTGCATGCTTATAATCCCAAAACTCAGGAGGCCGAAGCAGGAAGATTGCAAGTTTGAAGCTACCCTCAGCAATTTAGCAAGGCCCTAAGCAACACCAGTTTCAAAATAAAAAATAAGAAGGTCTGGGGATACACCTCAGTGGTGAAGCACCCTAGGTTCAGTCCCCAATATCCCACTCCCCAAAAGAATGAACTGTCCAAAATAAGCCAGAAAAGTTAAAAGCATCCAAGACACAACCCACAGTCTTTATGACCTAATATCAGAAGTGGCATATCATTGTTTTTGCCATATTCTTCTCTTTAGAAGTTAGTCCAGTGCTCATAATGAAAAGGAGGGGGTTATACAAAGGCATGAATACCAGGGGACAGTAACATAAGGAGTCATCTTATAGACTGCCTGCCACAACAGGAAGTCAGTCAGTCTGAGACAGTTTTACATATAGAGGAAGAAACTAGTCATTTCTTTTCCTTTCTTCTTTTTTTTTTTTTTTGTCTGAGCACCATCTATTTGGGAAATGACTCTTTGATTCTTGGTTTATGTAGTTCTGGGAGGCTGACTTCCCCGCAACACACCCAATTCTGGCTCCTGGAGTAAGCAACTGGGGTGTCCTTGGCCTGCCCATGAATAATACTTCAACTTTCTGACTAAAGTAAGTAAGGGATGAGCCATTCAGAGTATTTTTTTCTGGAATTAATATGGGCACTGAGTGGAAAAAAAAGATCTCCCAATATCACAGCTGCTATGTAACATAGAAAACTGAAATTTCTTCCATTTTTCATGCTTGCACATAGGCCATCTTTGTTCCATGTGGAAAAAAAAATAGTCTTAGACTGAAATCAACATAAAATAAAACAGCTGAAAGATGGAGATTTAGTGAGTTATACCAATTTCTTATAATATCTATTGCCTACCTGTGCCCAGTTGTACCTGAAGCTAATCTTGCCATTTTTATCTTTAAATTAGTTTTTATTTTTATCACTTATATCAAAAGTGGTCCTTTAATATATCCAGGTGTTAGGAATATATCTTCTTAATAAAACTATCAGAGCAAGGCCCTCTATAAAATTATCTAAATATGTTGAAGTATATTTACAGTTTTTCTGCCTTA